TCAAAAATCAGATTTGTGCCTTAGAATAGAGAGAGGGTCGGCTATAGAGAGAGAAAGGGAGAGAATTGTGTAATCTTGGCTCAAGGTTTGGGAATTTGAAGATTTAACTCAAGAATTGACTAGAGCTTGGGTGTTTGAAGCTCTTAGGTGAGTGATCAACCCTTGACTCATGAATTTCAATTTGTGTTTTGTAGATTCAAAGTTGAATGATGACAAAGAGCATGTATTGAGTTTGTCTTGGTGAATTTAAAGGCAATAGAGGCATGCATGTATGTAATTACTTTGAATTTGCATGTTTGAGCACCAAAATATTTGATTCATGTAAGTTTTAGTTGAAGATCATGCTCTTGACCATCTCTTCATCACATAAGTTGAGAATGAGGGTTATATGTCACATGCATGTGCCATTCACAAAGGTATAAGTGTTGAAGACATGAAATTGTAATGTTGATAATGAATTTGGTGGAAAATGAGCCATGCATGTGTTTGATTTATGGAATTGACCTTCAAAATGTTGTAATTTGATGTTGGTATCATGTTAGCATAAATATAAGTGAAATTTGAGCCATGGCATGCAAGAAATGTTGGTTAAAGTGTTGAATTCGAGCTCAAGAACCATCCTGGAAAACCCAAAATTTTTGATGTCCGCTCGAGCGGGGGAACTGCCGCTCGAGCGGGGATTTCGAGCTCCTAGTATTTTCTTGCAGGCATGGTGTCCGCTTGAGCGGAGAAGTTCACGCTCGAGCGGGGAGCTATGTAGGATGAACTTCCGCTCTAGCGTCCGAGTTTACGCTCGAGCGTAAAAATGATACAACCAGCACTTTTGCAGACCTAATGGGTTCGCTCGAGCGGGAAATCCCACGCTCGAGCGGGGACCCTGTTTTCTGAAATTTTTAAAGTGTATTATGTGTTTCGTTTTCCGTTCTCTTTCACTTGCAAGCACTCTTAGGCATGCATTAAGCATTGTAATTGAGTTAAAGAGGTAAGAATAAAGCCTAAAGAGGAATATGTGAATTAAAGAACGGATTGAATCGTTTGTGACCCATATGTGCTATATGATGTGTAGGGTCAAGCTCCAGGGCAAATCCACAAGCCGATCACTGTGAGTAATATCTTAACAAGATATTTGAATTATGTTGTTGTCCAACTGTTTACTTCTATGTAAGTTTTGTAAGTTCATTAATTTGAATGGTGGACAACGATTGACGAGAATGATTGAACCAAAGGCCGATTGACACGAATGATTGGGCCAAAGGCCGATTGACAAGAATGATTGGGCCGAAGGCCGATTGACACGAATGATTGGGCTGAAGGCCGATTGACACGAATGATTGGGCCGAAGGCCGATTGACATAAACGATTGGGCCGAAGGCCGATTGACATAAACGATTGGGCCGAAGGCCGATTGATACGAGTGATTAGGCCAAAGGCCGTTTCCTGTAACTGTTTCAAAGATTGCTTTTGCATCTTCCTTATTTGATATTATTCACTGGGCTTTCGCTCACGCTCATTCATGTACATATAGGTGAGCCAAGGGACATCGAGAACCAGCCTCGGTGAAATTATGAGAGACAGTCAAAGTTTTGAGGAGTCAGCCCAAACGTCTCACGCACGAGACTGTCTTCGCCTTCATCCTTTGTTAATTGTTTTGTTATGATGGCGAAAGCATTAGACTATTTTTGTGTATAAGTCTTGGGTTCGACTGACTGAAACTTGTATGATCCTGTTTGTACGGTGTTCTGTGTTAGTTCATATTTTGATGTGAGTTATTAGCATATAAATGTTTGGAATGTTATGGTGTGCATATAAGCACAGCTCTATAGACAAAGTTTTAAATTTGCTTCCGTTTGGCCCTTTTACTCTGATGAGTTTTGTTTTAATTGGTTTGAGGCCGTAGCTAATCTCTTGATTACTGGCCGGTTATGGCCTTAACCCATAGGGGCGGGTTCGGGTCGTGACACTTTGAATATTCATCTCTAATGAAGTGTGTGAAAATTGGAAATTGAAAATTGAATTCTACTTTCTTATTGAGAATGTTGTTTTAAACAGTAACAAGGCTGACTTCAGCACAATGGAAGGCAGAAAATGATGGAAGGTTTACAGTCAAAGTCTTACTGCAGACACTTTGAATTGATTTTGGGAGCTAATAAAAGGAATGTGCTGTTTTTTGATGAATAGAAAGAACCTGCTACAATAATGCTGCTGCTATGCAACAGAACTTAGTCAAATTTTGTGTTTTAGGGTTTTTGAATAGAACCTTGTTGGGATGCACCTTCTACCATCATTTGGAGAAATGAATTCTTAGCAACTCCATCCTCAAATAGCCATCATTTTGCATTGTAACTAAAGGTTGCCCATATTTTGAGTTCATCTTTGAGGGAGTGTTTTCCAAGACTGTTTGTGGTATGCTATCTCCTTGAAAATAGACAAAAGTAGCTAGAGGTGTTTATTGGTAATTAATGATGCTAACTGAGTTTTTTTGTATGGTAAGTGAGAGTTCATTACCAAAAACCAAATTAGTAAATCAACAAGACATACCTTCCATTACAAGAGAAAAAAACTCAAACTACAATCAATCAAAATAAATCTAATAGTTAATACTCAAAAACATCTAAGGGGATATTCCAATTACTACAAATCGAGCTATTAGAAGCAGAAGGCTTGACTCCATGAAACTGAGAAGATTTAATCCTGACATTCATATTTGATTTGTTGCAAAATTTGGGCTGGGATGTGTTGCAACTTCACCACCAAATTCTCAAAGTTTGGTACTCTCGACTTAAAAACATTTTCAAATCAGCATATTTGGAATTTTGAATGTTTTAGCCCTCAATTAGCCATCATTTTGTAGGATAACTTAAGGTTGACAAAAAGGGAAATGCATCTAATTTTACACAATTCTCATCAATTTCACCATCCATGTGAATAAAATCCATGTTAAGACAACAAATATGTTTTCTTTGAAAATTTTTCTAATCATCAATCATACTACATCTACACATACACACATGTTAATTAAGGTTGGGTTTGGATCTTGGATTTGTGAAGGGAATATAGGCACAATTTTTTTGTCACTTTTTCTTTACCTCCACAAAAAGAAGTCGTCAAACCTTTTTTTTTTATTTTTTATTTTATATTAGGGCAAATTACATATACCCCCCTTGAGGTTTGGCTAAATTAAAAATACCCCCTGAGGTTTGAGAAATTACAAATTCCCCCTCTGAATGCTATATTTGCATAACAAATTAGGGGATAATTTGTTATGAAATTTAAACCTCATGGGACAAATTGTTATGAAAATACAAACCTTAGGGGGTGGGATGTAATTTTCGAAACCTCAGGGGGGTATCTGTAATTTAGCCAAACCTCAAGGGAGGTATATGTAATTTGCCCTTTATATTATGTCATTATGAAAAATTGTAAAATAATATTTTGTGGATTGAACAGAGCACCTTTAAAGATTTGTGACAAAGTAACCTCAGGTTGAATGTAGGTTCTGCCTAATCTATTAATTTTTGGTCTAATGTATGGTTTGAAAATTCATCTTTGAGTTAGTGTTTTCCACGTCTCATTTTGCTATCTACTCAAAAAGTGGAAACAGAAAGAGTGGCAGACTTGTTTGAAAATTGATTGAGAATTACATTCTCTATTGGAGAGTGTTGTTTCAAGCAGTAATAAGGTTGATTCATTACAATGGAGGGTTGAAAATGATGGTTTGTTAACAGTTTTAAGTCTTTTTGCATCAATTGCATAAAGCATTATTCCACTAAGAATTCAAGTTTTTTGTTGGTTGGCACTAGGTAAATTCTATGTCCATGTACTCTACCTTTTGTGTCAATTTTGTTCTTGTAATTGCAATTAACTTGATTTTAACTCTAAATTTTAAGTTTTATCTCTATTTAGTCCAATCGATAATGCTAGTTAAATTTTTTGACAGAAATGGCACCCGTGAGCCTTACGAGAGCATAATTTCAGGGACAAAATGGTAATTCAAATAGCACCCAAAACCAAAGATTATCTACAGAATAGTATGAAATCTGAAATCAGGCATCCAGACAACTACACAAGTCCAAATTATGCAACTTTCTGATGAAACAAAACATACCCAAAACCATAAAATTAACAGAAAGCAAAAACAAAAAACAAAAAAAAAAAGAACTTCCAATGCAAGTGTGCATGTGTGTGTGTGTGAATTATTAAAACACCACATCAAGTAACTACAAAAAAAAAACTATGGCTCCAAGAAGCAGAAATAGAATTCATTTTAGACGTGTGAAGAAGATGGGGAAATCGATCGATCATGAAAAGAAAGAGGGAGTTAGCGCATGCCAAAAATCGATTCAGAGAGAGAGAGAGAGAGAGTTAGGGCTTCCCCAGAAATCGATTGAGAAAGAGAGAGAGGTTATTGTTGCAGATGGACGAGAGCATAATTTCAGGGACAAAATGGTAATTCAAATAGCACCCAAAACCAAAGATTATCTACAGAATAGTATGAAATCTGAAATCAGGCATCCAGACAACTACACAAGTCCAAATTATGCAACTTTCTGATGAAACAAAACATACCCAAAACCATAAAATTAACAGAAAGCAAAAACAAAAAACAAAAAAAAAAAGAACTTCCAATGCAAGTGTGCATGTGTGTGTGTGTGAATTATTAAAACACCACATCAAGTAACTACAAAAATAAAACTATGGCTCCAAGAAGCAGAAATAGAATTCATTTTAGAAGTGTGAAGGAGATGGGGAAATCGATCGATCATGAAAAGAAAGAGGGAGTTAGCGCATGCCAAAAATCGATTCAGAGAGAGAGAGAGAGAGTTAGGGCTTCCCCAGAAATCGATTGAGAAAGAGAGAGAGGTTATTGTTGCAGATGGAGGGGTTTCGAGTTGAGGGAATCATAGAGGAGTTGAAGTTAGGATGAGGGTTTGGTCGAAGGAAAATTGCTGAAGTGAAGTGGGCGAAGAGAGAGAGAAAGAGAGGGAGAGAGAGCTCCATACCTGATATCTAGTTGGAGAGAACGCCTTCACTGCAACGATGGAACCCAACAAAGGCTTGCAGTTCCATTGTTGCTAAAAATCAATGGTTATACATAGATTCAACAATGAAACCCAGTAAGGGCTTATTATTGTTAATGGAAATCAAAGGCTACATAGAGGAAGAGAAGAGGGAGAGACAAAATAGAGAGAGTGAGGGAAATGGGAGGAAATAGGAGGGTTAACCGGTTGCCCCGGTTCCTAATTTTTTACCATTAAACAATTCAATGGTCTTGATCAATTGTTTGTAATCCAACGGCTAATAATTACTTAAGGGGTTGCACACTTTAAACAACACCCAAAAAGGAAAAAAGAAGACTCACGAAGCATTGATGTGTACTTGTGGCACCATCATCAAAACCAAATAGAGGGTAAGATGGTTCCAGTGAAAAATAATAAAAAATTAGAGGGTTCAGATTTGCCCAGCACCTATTTAGCATAATAAAATCTAATATATTTAAAACTTTTTTTCAAAGTCTAGAGAAATTTAACTGAACCCACTAACTCAAGAGGGTTGTATAATTCAATACAAACTTGAAAACATTGTAGAACTAAGGTGTGTACATATATATTTATGTATATATGTAAAGCTCTATAGAAGAATGGTACAGTAATTTTTGGTCTATAAATTTGGACTTATATCTTTTGCAACCAACAAAGGTGTGATATACATACTTGAAATCTATAAATTTTAGACTCATATCTTGTGGAACCAACAAAGGTATAAATTTTGGACTTATATCTTGTGGAACCAACCAAGTTTTGATATACATAATGCTTTACAGCACCATTCCTCCCCCCACACACACACACACACACATACTATTGTACACATTTTTCACATAGTCAAAACAATTATACATAAACATACAAACAGAATCATACTGATGAGGGTTTGTGACGAGGGATATCAACTAGATAGCAATTAAAAACAACTAAAGTGATTGAAAGAAAAATGATGAGCATATCACAATATGTAGATAAGCAGAACAAGACATAAAGATTGAAGAAGCAGATCATATAGAAATTCATCGAGCGCACACATACACCTTACGGCATATGTAGGAATATATATATATATATATATATATGAATTTTTTTAAATTGGGGCACTCAAACCTGGTATCATCATCTCTAGATTTTAAGAAATACAGAGAGGGAGATCTGACCTAGGGCTTTGACGGCAAAATATGTGATCTGTCTCATTTTAATATCTAAAATTACACATATAGACCAAATTGAAGCTTTTTTATGTATTCGGGACTAAATTGACACAGTTTAAACATAGGGGATCAAAATACACAAATCTCATATTTAAAGATTACAAATGTAATTAACCTTGTACATATATATTATCTATACATCATGTATACAGAGCAAACAGAAAAGGAAACAAATCCAAAGAACAAAGCAGCAAACCCACTAAACAAATGTCATACATGGCGAAGATCTGAGATGAGATCAAAATTCAATTTGATGGAGGAGGTTACATAAACCCAATCTTGGGGTAGAGCTAAATTATGTCCTAGAAGAGTTCTCTATTCCTCTAGAAAATCTGATCTTCCTTAATTTGATTGCTCTGTTTGAAATTTTTGTTTTTTACATCCACATGTAAGCGTACTAATGGGCACAAAATAAAATTCAAACTCTGGCAACAATCAACACATTCACATTCTAATATATCAAGTTAAAAGTTCCAACATAGAGAAAGAAAGTGAGAGAGAGATGAGAAAGAGAATGACCAAGAAACTGAGGATATATATATAGAGAGAGAGAGAGAGAGGAAGAGGGCTTACGAGAATGTAATGGTGGTGGTGGTGGTGATGGTTTTGAAACCCTAGCCCTGAAACCAACCCTCGATTTGCCTCCAACCATCAATTTTCCTCTGGCTCCACTCTCGAATCGACTACACCAACCCTCGGCAAGACCACTACACATTCTCCGTCGATCGAGGATCCATCAGAAATTTTTGGGTGCACATAGGTAGGTGCTACGTGTACCTTTCTCTTCTCATTGGTTGAAAGAATGAGCCTACATTTAAGTTGGACGATAACGAGAGAACATGAGAGATCATGATATTTGATTGGCTGAAGTCACCATTTGACATATCACATGTATCTATCTGCACTGAAGAATTTTTCGAAAAAGAGAGAAAAGAGCGAGAGTGGAACAGAAAATGAAGAGAGAAAGGGTAGAGAATAAAAAGGTGAGATAATGTCATTTCTTTGTTAATTTTACACTATTCAAGAAACATGTGTCACGTTTTCATTAGGCTACATAAGCGACTGGAAGTGACCGAAGCTTCAATGACGGTATAAAAAGAGAAGTTATTGGTTGGTGTTAGGATACACTCACGTGATTCTCTGTATTTTGATTGGTGAAGAAAGTGAAATTCACGATTTAATATTTCATAATTAAGAAATATAAAGGGGCATAGGATTTTATAATTGGTCAGAAATATGATCACGTGACACTCCTGAATTAACTAATAATTTTTGGTAGCAAAACCACTCCCCACATTATAAGCATGATTGTATATATGATGTTCCATCCCTCTTATGGCCTAACATTTCTCCTCCCAAAGCTCAATTCTTTGGATGGTTGGCTTAGAATGGAAGGGTCTAAACAGTTGCTTATTTACAAAGAATTGGGATTCTTAGCATGAATGCTAGCATCAATTGTATTTTCTGTAATTCAAAAGTTGAATCAGTTGATCTTGTGTTGTTGCTGTGCTCATCAGTTTGGAAGGTTTGGGCCAATTTACTGAATTGGTGGGGTCCAGTGGGTGGCGCCTGGGTCAATAGGGGGGTTGCTTAGTTGGTGGGCTGGATTTAAGTTTAACAAATTTGATGGGTTGATTTGGAAAGTTATTCCTTTGGCTCTGATATGGTCCATGTTGATATTTTTAATAAAAATAAAATAATATGTTGTTTTAATAAATTGTGAGTTATAAAAGGTTTTATATCTCATTATTTCTTTATTTAATATAATGTTAAATGGTGGTTTATTGTTATCATTAAGTGATTTTTTATTATATAGGCTACTAGGAGTGCTATATAAATATAATAGCGTATGCCCGTGCCTGAAGGCACGGCATAAATAATGTTGAGATTAAAATGTAATTATAATGTTTAGTGTAAATAATGTCAATTAATTAATTAATTTAATGCATCCTCAACATTTAATTAATCATGGGGAACATGAATATATTAGAAACAGTGTATGCTGCCACCACACATAAGCCAGCTTTGTTTGAATAATTGTAGGTATCATTAAAATTTAGGAAAAATTAACCAAAAAAAAAACTTAAAATTTAATATATTCATGTGGGGTCTGTCTTTAGGAAGAAAAAAATTGTGTTTAAAGACAATTTGTCGGTAGGAAGAAGTAGCCATTAGTCCTTTGTGAGGTCTGTCTTTCACATATTTTTTTTGCATTCCTATTCAAAAAATGAGCTGCACCATGTACAAAAATATGCATACAAAAATATGCTTCATTTGTATATTCTTCTCATTCATAGCATAAGAATCAACTGTGTCAGAACTTTATACTATCTTGAACACAACCATTTGCCACTATCTCACCATCACAACCCTTCCATCAAATTAAGCAAAGTAGAACACTACACAATACACTTCAGAGCAAAACAAAATGTTCCCAGACAAAATTCAAAATAAGCATTATTTGCATTGGCTCTATAATAAAAAAATCACCAAAATGCATGGAAAGTTACTTCATTCCAAATAGGTCCATTAAAAAATTGCACCTCTGCAATAAATACCAATAATAAAATCATGGGCCCAAAAAGAAAGAAAAAAAAAATAAGATAAGGTCATTCAAGAAAAAACTTATACAAATATATTGCAACTTAGGCAATGAAAACTTTAACAAAAACTTATTTTTTGACCCAAAAGAAAGAAAATTCAACAAAAACAGTAAAATAAAATAAAAAAACATGTTTAACATATTGTCAAGTAAGTGAAGAGGGTTTTTGAATTTATATAATAAGGGAAAATATAAAATGTAAAATTCAAATATAAAATGACTTAAACAGGAAAATTCAAATAATACTTATAAAAATGGAAAATTGACTGCAAAATAATGGAAAATGGAAAATTGTCAAATAATGCTTATACAAAATAATTTATTAAACAATGCAAAATTGACTGCAGCATCAAATTTAAGGAAAAAATAATTTATGAAGTAGTTATTATGGCAATGAGGCTACTGATATCAAATAGAAGACTAATTTAATCAAAGGTTCATTTGCAATTTTCCTAGCTGAGAATGTTAATGACGTCTTCATCAAGTGCACTGAAAAGCCCAAATTTCCCTCTGTCAGGAAAACAAGATCAGATCTAAAAAAGCTCAACAGGATCAGATATAAAAAAGCTCACATTCTGGCTAAACCAAGGGGGGTCAAAGAATTTATCACCCCCTGTAACTATCATTGTGCATGGTATGCAAATCATTGACCCACTAATAGTACTTGCGATATCCAACACCTAAAACCATCATTATCAGTACCTAGTTACGTACCAATAGCATTACCAAGCTCCAGCTTGTATTCTATGGAATCACGACTCCGATATGAAGAGTTGAAAGAGTAACCAGATGGACCAGCTGGTACAACTCCAGCCCATATCTGATTTGCTAATATAACATGAGGGTTCTCCAATCGAACAGGAAATTTTCTGATATGGAAACCAAAGAAAAACTATTTTTTTTTATCAACTTTGAAAGTCATGACGCAACCAAGTGATATAGCTAAGACTAATCCATGTAAAGCCAATGCAAATAAATTTTAAAAAAAAATTGTTCTCCCGTATTCAAAAAATACAAAATAAAAAATAAAAAAATCTCAGCCATTCAAACAAAATGTAAAATTAAAAATAAAAAAAGAACCGTTCTCCCTTATTCAAAAATAAATAAATAAAATCAAAGATGGGTATAGATGATTTACTGTCTTTGGGTCCATGAAAATCCACAGAGAACTTCTCGACCTTATAGTCACTCATCATCCTATTTCACAACAATCAAAACCCAACTATTAAAATAATAATAGAAGCCAGTTTTAGTGAATAATACAGAGTGAGCAAACCCAATATTTGTCCAAAGCAATACAGAGCATCCAACCTAATAATAAATTAATGGAAGAAGAAGAAAAAAAAAAAAAACTGTTCT